CTTTCAAGAGATCAGTTGTCTTCAGGGAAATTACAGTAACCTCTTGGTCTCTGACCATGCCTTCAACGAAGAACTTAAAACCCTGATGTTACCTTTTTCTTTCTTTAAGCATTCTAGTACAATTAGAATTAGTCAAGCCACCACACAGACTATTCTGTTCTGTGTTAGCAGCATCCCGGTGTGTCTGGGGACTGTGTGTAAATGTTTAGGCAGCTCTCACTACTGAGCTCCATCCTCTGATCATAATTAGATCTTCAGTATCTTCACATCCAACCAAGTCAGATGACCAATCTCAGCTTTCTACTCCCCTCACCCGAGAAGCCATCCTTGTTACTAATTACTTTATCCATCAGAATTCACTCCAATCAGTTTAAGGAGCTACTTCTCTGGTGGCTCAGATGGTCAAGAATCCACCTGCAGTGCAGGAGACCTGGGTCAATCCCTGGGTTGGGAAGATCCCCTGAAGACGGGCATGGCAACCCACTCCAGTATTCTTGCTTAGAGAATTCCATGGACAAGAAGAGCCTGGTACGCTATAGTTCAGGTGATGCAAAGAGTCGGACATGACTGAGTAACTGAGCAAGCACAGAGTTAGTCTAAAGAATCTTCAGGAGGGTCAGAGAAACAGGCGTGGGTGACTGCTACATATTGAGGAATGGAACAGCCTTGAGAAATGCATAACTCCTACATAAACATGCTTTGAAGAAAACACTCCTGGTATTACCTTCTGTCATTTGGAATCTAACTACAGGAACTGTACTCCAGAAACTCTACTATAGCTGGCATGGAAGAACTGAATGTTTCTGCTTTCCGGGAGATCTGATCTCTCCCTTCATGTCCACTGCTCACAATGCTCATGTTCACCTTTGAGTTCTGAGTGGTCATGTCTGCCTGGCAGAAGTTAGATCTCATGAGGACCCATGAGCTGCAAGGGAGTCTGGGAAATGCGGAATTCAGTTTCTGGATTCAAGTACAGGAAGTCAAGCTATAAGGAGGTTATATAAATGCTTAAGTGCTCAAATCACTGTTTCACATTTGTTAAAGGAGCTGTGAGACCTCTGACCCTTTTCTCCAGCTGATTAAACTTCACAGATCGCATAGGCAGGTCAGGTGGGAGGCAGGGCGACTGAATTAGCTGTGGGTCATATCTTCTTAAATATCAGTATTAGAAATTTCAAAGGAGGAGTGGAGCTATCAACAAGGTACTAAAACTATAATATAAAATAGAAAGCAGATATATTAGACATTACAGCAAGGAAAGAAGTCATTATTTACAAAACAAAGAACTAAGGAAATTTTTTTTTCTCAGTCTCCTAAGGTATGGCAATGGTACAGCCAAGAATAACAAAGAACAGGAACTAGGAAAAATGAATTGCAGTTTCTTTTAATTTCATTCATATATGAATCCTCTGTTCTTAGATTTTAAAATGAAAACAGCAGCAGGAACTTAGCTTTGGGCAAAAACTGGAAATAATTCAGGTGGTTATACTTCTTTGATAAGATTTAATTTTTCAGGTCCAAATAAAAATATTTCAGAGTAATGTAATGATAATCGTGAATGAATGATAAGTGGGAGGGCATGATGATAACATTTTAAACTGATAATAAGATAGGAATTATTTTGGGGCAGGGGCAAGTTCCTATCTGCTACATGTACAAATTTAGAATCATAAAATCAGGATATGAAAATTAAAAGGAACCTCAAAACCAGTCTAATTGTTCACTGCAGGGCAGAATTCTTTCTACTGTCCCCTGACACATGATTCGTCTTCTATCATCTATTTGAATATTTCTGGGAACAAAGAACAAATTGCTGCATTGGTTATCAAATGAGAAATCCATTTGATTTGGTATAAGTTTTTCTTAGTGAAGTCTTACCATTTATTATCCAGTGATTTTTGTTGTCTAAGTTCTCATAATCTATGTGATCTGCTCTTTTATATATTCAGGTACTTGACAAATTTATTAAACTTCTCAATAGGGGTGAAAAGGTTTTTAAAAATCAATTTTAATATGTCATATATCTTCTACTTATAATCAAAATTAAACATTTTAAGAGGATGAGCTCCTTGGGTTGTTTTCAACCTTCCCACCTAAACCCCCATTTAGTTCTCCAATGGTATTAAACAATTGGCACTGCTGAAAATTTTCAAATCCACAAAGAAAATAAAAATCCATTCATGTATTTTATTTTAAGGCAGTATATACTGAAGAAAAGGCATTTTAATGCATTGTATACTGAAGAAGAAAAGGCAATGGTTGTTTATAAGATTGATTTATACTGATTTACCTGTTACTGAAAGGATTATGAACTGCACTGATGTCAAAATCCCAGACAAATTCAGTTACATAAATACCATCAATTGTAAGATTTATCTCTTCCTGCCTTGACAATCATTCTGGCTAAGATTCTTTTGGCTTGTAAATGACAGAGAATCATTAAACTGGTTGATTCAAAAGAAAGAATTTATTGGCTTTTAAACATAACTGAAAAGGTGATTTGATTCAGACATGGCTGAATCCAGATACTCAGGATATGATTCATAATCTCTCACTGATTCCATCTCATGCACCTTTTGCTGACTCTTCCTCATTGATGATGATGATGATAGTCAAGTGCAGCTCCAAGTCTGTATGCCACCATTTAATCATTCCACCAGAACGTAAGAATGCCTCGTTTCTATAATTCCAGCTAAAGTTCTCTGGCTAACTTTCATCAGCTCAACTCAGTTCATGTGCCTGTTTCTGAAACTCTTCACTGTGGCCTGAGAAGCTGCACGGGTTGATTGGCCAGTGCGAGTGAGTGTACTGTTACAAATGAGAAGGACTGAGGCTAATCGTGAACCGTGTAAAACTTCCAGCTGACCAGGCAGTGCAGCACCAGTTATTTGCTGGGCAAGCCTGGTGTTCTGCCTGGAGGAAGGGGTGTATGACTTTACTTTGCACAAAGATATCCTATGGACTAGCTGTGGCCTTGCAGCCATGTATGTGAATCCCTTGGACAGTGAGTAGGGGAGGGTGATCCTCTGGTTGCAAATCAGGTGCTGTTTCTATGCTAAGAGAAAATGGACACCGGGCAAACAGAGCTACCAGATGTACACTACAGAAAAAATGCCATACACTACTGCTGTTAGTGAGATTCTGAACGTTTTGTATTCAATTTAAATCTATTCAACTCAGCTCAATCCAATCCAACAATTACTGATCTCTCATTACAGGCCAAAAACTCGTGTGTGTGTGTGTGTGTGTGAGTGTGTGAGTGTGTGTGTATTGGGTAGGTGGGTAAAGAGGCACTACATAAACAACAGCAACAACAACAACAACAACAAACAAAAGACAGACGAGATCTGTCCCTTCAGTTCAGTTCAGTCTCTCAGTCATGTCTGACTCTTTGAGACCCCATGGACTGCAGCATGCCAGGTTTCCCTGTCCTTCACTGTCTCCCGGAGTTTGCTGAAACTCATGTGCATTGAGTCGGTGATGCCATCCAACCATCTCATCCTCTGTTGTCCCCTTCTTCTCCCACCTTCAGTCTTGCCCAGCATCAGGGTCTTTGCAAATGAGTCAGTTCTTTGCATCAGGTGCCGAAGTATCTGTTCCTTAAGGAGTATATATATTCCAACTTTATACCAACTTTAAAATGTCTTTAATTTTTAAAGTCTACTTTGACATAATAATTTGAAAAATTCTCATGTAAAATCAAAGATGGTAGAGTGTAAATATTCCTTTCGTTGCTTTTTAGAAAAATAATTGGCACTGTTAACTGAATTACACATCTATGGTATGTTCAAATATGATTACATTCTGGTGAATTTACAAAACTGAGGGAAAAATAAGTATTGACTTAATTATATTTGTTTTGTTATATCAATCTTTACTTCCTAATGTTACTGAGTGTTTGTACTGCTTACCACATGCCAGGCCAATAAATCAAGAGATGAGGTGTTGGGGCAAGGAACAGTGACTATTTGGAAAGCCAGCAGGCCAAGAAAACAGCCCAAAGAACCATCTTAACCAGTCAGAATCCAGGCCTCTTTTATACTAAAGGGGGAGGGGGTATCCTTGCAAACTTCTTGGTGCAAAGTCCTTGTTCTTGCAGCTGTCCCCATGTGATGCAATGCTTTAAAAACCTCAAACAACACAATCATTATTTTCTGTTCAGCAGCTTTTTACCTCTGCTATGAAGGGGGAAGTGCTATGAAATGTCAGAGCCTTGAGAGGGGGCTATCCTGTATATTTCAGCTTATAGGTAATAGCTGTTTCAGGAAGGCTCAGAGTCAGCATGACTCAGCACAGAGCTCAGTGTTGGGGGTAAGAAAGCAGATCCGACATGGAGTCAGGTTTGTTCTCTGTTACACTTAACAGTCTGAAATAGCAGCTAAATAGGCAGCTGGAAGAAGGTCATCTTATGTGTTCAAGTGATCTTTTAAGTACGGTTTAGCTTTATTTTAAGATTATTGCTTACTAGCAAACTCAGTTTGCTTTAAAAATTGAAATAAGCCTTTTATTTCTGTGAAGAAAAAAACTTACCTGTGTTCCCTCCAACGCCCCCAACACTGTTTTAACACTGCATATATTAACTTTCAACTCTGGGGAAAGCAAAACAACACCCAAAAAACGCCCAAGCTTAATATTATCTAGTCAAAGTTAAACAATGAACTAGGGGCACGAGGAGAAAGACAAGCAGTAACCAAATGCCAAATGGGATCTGTTTTTATTTCAGCATTTAGGGAGTATCGGTGAGACCTACCTCCTTCTAAGCCAAAAACTACCTAGCACCCGAAAAAATTTGTCCGGTTCCTCCCGGATTAAAGTGAACAGGATTTAAGTGAGTACATACTTAAGGTTAAGTGAGTAAATACTTGCGGCGGGGAGGAGGTAACCACCACGGTGGAACTTGGGGACTTCTTGTTTGTTTTTTGCTTTCAACGCAGCAGCCCAGGGCGTTTCTGTTCCTTGGCCAGCAATAGGGAGATCCTGCGTTTAAGGCCACGGCCCACCTGGTTGGGTCTGGGAGCGAGGGAGATGAGGATGCGGGAGGACGCGATGACGGTGTGCGGGAATGAAGGCGATGACAAAAGCTCGCGAGGTCTGAGCGCCCCGGCGGGTCCCACTGCGCGCCCGCAGAGGCCCCCGGGCGGCCGGGCCAGCGCGCGGCGGGGCGGGCGGCCGGGCGCGTCAATGGGCCCATTCAGGCCGGCGCGGCGCGGGGGTTGAGAAGTTAAGGGGCGGGAGGTGGCGCGCCGGGGCCGCGGCCGCGCCATTTGCATTTCAATGAAGCCCGCCTGTTGACTCAGTGCCCGGCGCTTCCGCAGCTCCCACCAGAATCTGCCTTTGTTGGTTTTAGCTCCGGTCAAGTCCACTTCTTGCAACGGGGGAGCCGCGCGCATTGAGTTTGTGTAGTCAGGCAGAACACTCGACAGGAAGGAAGGAGGAAGGGGTGCTCCGCGCGGCCATTGTCTGGGCAACCGGGCTTAAGCAGCCGAGTGACTATTTAATCTATAAGGTGCACTTGAATCCCTTGCAAATCCGCTCAGTGTGGAGCAGGGAGCACCCAGACAGGGACAGATGGTGCAGAACCCTTTTGTTTAAAAATATGGAAATGCGTTTTCTTTCATTTACTTAAGGTGGTCCCGCTCTTTTAACTGGTACTATTCCCCCGTGTTGCATCGTCCAGGAGAGACCGGAAGATACTCTTAGGTCTGGTCAGCCCGGCCTGAGCGTTTTTTTTTTTAATCTAATAGTTGGAGGTGAGTTTTCTGTATTTGGCAGAATTACAGTAAGGATCCCTCTTACCTTTTTGGTGTCTTCTGAGCTTAGGCAGAGTGCATCCGAGGACATTTGTTTAAAAGTCTTGCAAGATCACTTTTCAGAGGCTCCCTTCTTTTTTCACAGTAAGCATCAGATTCGTAGACCTCAGGGTGCTTCACATGCAACGGGGAGTGGAGGGAGAATGCCCTGCTCTCAATGCCACCTGCTGCTTTGCACTGACTTCTTGGGCCAAGAAGCCTATGAAGGATGACCCACTTGGGTTTCCAGAGCCGGAAGGATGCTGTGGCTCGGGGCCTCACACGTGGTTCAGCTTCCACAGCTGTCATTTAGAGGATGTTCAACATCAACCTGTGGAAAAGAGCACATGTTTGCAGTATCTTAGAAAAGTGGAAGGCTCTGCCTACAGAGCCCTTGAGCTTGCTGACATGTCACCAGACGGATTTTCTGATCATCCTGACAAGAGATGATCCGGTCTTTTTATCCGGTCTTGAAGTGCACTTGGAAACATTAGAACCAACCCACCTTAGTCTAAAATGAGGTCAACCAACTGTCCACGTGGGCTTACTCTGGTGGCTTGGCGTAAAGAACACACCTGCCAATGCAGGAGATCTGGGTTCGATCCCTGGTCCAGGAAGTTTCCCTAGAGAAGGAAATGGCAACCCATTCCAGTATTCTTGCTGGGAGAGCCCATGATCAGAGGAGCCTGGCGGGCCACAGTCTGTGCTGTGCTGTGCTCAGTTGATCAGTTGTTTCTGACACTTTTCGACCCCGTGGACTGTAGCTGCCAGGCTCCTCTGTCTATGGAATTCTCCAGGCAAGAATACTGGAGTGGGTTGCTATGCCCTTCTCCAGGGGATCTTCCTGACACAGAGCTCGAACCTTGGTCTCCTGCATTGCAGGTGGATTCTTTACCATCTTTACCATCTGAGCTACCAGCAAAGCCCAGGATACAGTCTGTGGGGTTGCAACAGAGTTGGAGGTGACTTAGTGACTAAGCAACAACAGCAGAAAGTGTCCACATATATGACCTCTTTCTGGTTCCAGCTTTGGTTTAAAAGGTAGCAGTTGGGGTCCTGCGGGACTTTTCTATCTATGGTAATACAAATCAATTAAAGGAAGTTTTGAATGGATAGCTGGCAAAAAAATCAGATAATTTTCCATTTCAGCACAGATTACACAGGAAGCAGATTATTGGCTTGCGGTTTTGAAGGTAGGGTGAAACCGACACATTAGAAAATAGATTATTGAAGTATTTTAATCTTGAGGTGCTTATAAATCTTGAGCATCTTAATACATTTATATAAAGACAAAGATGTCTGTTTGGTCTGTAATTCTGATGCAAACATTTGACTATGTGAAATGCTCAGAAGTCAGCTGTCTTTTACCTGCCATATGACTGCAGAATCTTTGCCCTCCAGTTTTTCTGACACGCTCTAAGAGTACAGACAACATATATACAACACCTGGACCTGTGAATAATTAAATTACTATCTAGGCCACCATCAAGAGGCTTTCTAAGGGGCCAAGTGCAAGGATCTTCTGTTTCTTATCCAGATATCAAAACCCCAAGTCCATGAACTGATCCTTCATTGTGAATTCCTGCTTCATTTCTACTTCAGCCATTTTAGAGCAGTAAAGAGCCAGAATAAGGTGTCAGCCAGCAGTATAGCTTACACTTTATATTTTTTGAAGAAAAACCTATCTAAACTGGTTTCAGGCTATCTTGTTAGAAATTAATTAAAACTGTGGGGTGGGGCAATGTTTTTACACGCCTGAGCATTGCACAGTAAACAAATTTGTTTAGAATTTCAAAAGTTAAAAGAGAGCTTTGCTTGGAGTTTTAAAATTTTCCAGGTTTTTCTTCCAAATGGTGAGAAATAGAGTAAAATATTATTATTCCATGGGCAGGTGTGAGCTTGAGCATGTTAAGTTTCTTGGCTTTCTTTTGGTTTTACATAATGAGCCTTTTGTTGGACTTCATTACAGAGAAGTAATGAAGAGGGAGATGGTCTCCCTCTCTGATTCTGATTAAAGCATGAAACCCCACATACTCACTGATATTTGTCATTTCGTTTTGGTTGGTAAGTGAATTTTGGTGATGAAACTGTGAAGCCACAAGTTCTCCAAAGCACTGGAATGCAGTTAAAAGGAAACTGCCCCATGGGACAAAGAGTTTTGATTTAAGTTGAACCTGTGGCTTCATGCTCACTCATGTAAATGGTGCCCATTCTTCTAGATTGGGGATTCTCAGGATGTTCTTAAGTCCAATGTGTTGTATTGTGCCACAGTCAAAGGTCAGAGAATGAGACTATGTATTCCCATAGGGAAATGAACTTCAGCAACTGACCCTATTTATAGGAGAGGATTTGGCCAGCTGGGATATGAATTCAGAGGCTTTAGTTATGAATCAACTCCTGTGAGACTATCATGATCGGGTTGAAGGTGTTCCAGTTGAACTGTTACCTTTAGTTTCTGCATCACTTGGGTTTGTCCGAAGTGAAAGTGCTTATGGTGACCTTCCGTCCCAGACAGAGGATTGTTTAGAAGTGTGCACCAAAATTTCTATTTGGGTGTAGACTTAGCTTAGGAAAGTTCTTCAAGTCATAGCTGTTTCCCACTGCAAGCAGGATACATTCCCAGATACCAGTGGTATAAGATTGGTGTTGTGTCCTTACCTGATCTCTGCAATGGTTGACAGTATTAACTGCTTCCTGTTTGAGAAGCTCGCTTCTTGGTGATAGAACTCTCTGGGACTTTTCTCCTATCTCCCTGGCCTCTCCTTCTTAGTCTCACTTGCAGACTCTTTTCCCATACTGTGCTCTTGTGTGGGTTCTGTCTTTGGTTCTCATTTCTTCTGTGTATTCTCCTTGGTGAGATTTCTAGGAGACCTTTCTTAAACACACCGTGTGTCCTCCGGCCTCAGAGCCTTTGCACATGTGGTGCTCTCCACGTAGAATGTTCTTTCCCTGGATTGGGGATACCTGGCTTATTTCTTTATTTGGTTCTCTACTGAAATGTCACCTTTCAAATGAAGCATCCCTGGTTAACCGTAGAAAATAGCTGGTACCCAATCACAGTCAGACCAGGATAAGGCAGGCAAACAAGGTGTCCAGGGCACACAAGGAGGCAGGTTCAGGGTCACACCTGAGAAAGTGTGCCTCCTTACACATTTCCCTGGGGATCTTGCTTGCCTCACCTGTCCTACCTGTACTCAATCTCTCTCTAGTCTCTCTTTCTTCAATTATAACATATATGTCACTGATAATTGTCTTGTCTCTCCACTCTTGACCCACTCACACCATTAAAATGTAGGCCATGTTGGAGCAGGACCCTTGTCTAGTCTTGTTTTTTGCTGTGTCTTCAGAGCCCAGAACAGAGCTCAGGATGTAGTAGGTATTTCGTCATTTATTTATTTTTAAATGAATATAGTGTATAAATGCCTCCTACTCATATTATTGAGACTCTCCAGTGCACAAAAACTAGGTTTGTAAATGAACCTCTCCCTTTGGACATCCCACAAGCTTTTCAAACTCACTGTGTCCAAAACTGCACTTATTACCTTTCACTCCCAAGCCTACCTCCCACTTCAATTTTCTCTTCTGATGAATAGGACCTCCATCCAGCTCAGATGAAAATGCTAGAGATGTGGTAACTCTGGACTATCAAGTTCACTCCCTACATAGCTCCTCCCTTCCTCCATTTCCCTCCCTGCTGCCCGGCTTTAATTTAGCCTCTCCTCCCTTCCTCCCGGAAAAGCTGCCAATCCTTTTCCAGCTGAACTCATAGCAAATAGTGCGTCCTCTGCTTAAAACTTCTGGCACACTGCTGTAATGTGCTCTCTAAACCACATACCTGATCATGCCCCTTCCTTATCTTCAGATCCTTCCCTGCAGCCCTAGAGGTTTAGAGGTAAAATTTGGATTTCATAGAAAGAGAGGTGATGGGTCAGCTGACTCCGGCCTGGATCCCTAGAGTCTCTTGGCTGTGCCCTCCCTGCCTTCCTGCTCCTGTGATCTTACCCTCTCTCCCCGACACGATGCACACACTTGGCGCTCCAATCTCAGAGTACTTGGAATTTTGGCGTAATCTACCCTCCTCAATGTTGCTGTACCATTGCAAGGCTCACCTCTACCTATCCATTCATCCTAGGTGGAAAGGGCAATTCGAACTTTCTTCGTCTGTCAGGTTATTTTGTAATTTTCTGTTTGCTTACCCTGCTCCCCATCCTACTGTGAGCACCTTAAGGGCTGGAACTGGGTCTTTCATTTTTGCACACCCAGCATAGAGTTGGCCCTTCATGCTGTTTGTTGAATGAATGTATTTGTGTGTGTATTCAGTCGCCAAGTTGAGTCCCACTCTTTTTGACCCCATGGACTGTAGCCCCACCAGTCTCCTCCATCCATGGGATTTTCCCAAGAATACTGGAGTGGGTTGCCATTTCCTCTATCAATTCACTTAAAGATTATATTTTTATGTGGGGTAAGGTATAGGTCACAAAGACTCTTCCTTTACTTGATATCTGTTTATTCCAACATTATTTTCGAAAAATCCTTCCTTACTCCCTTGTGTGAGGAGCTCACTTTGTCATACATTACATTCTTAAAAAGAGCTGGACGTAATTTCAGGTTTCCATTGTGTCATCTTGATTTACGCATCCATTCCTGCATCAGTAACACACAAGCTTAGAC